TTTCTTTTTTGTACGGGGGATCGAACTCAGGACCTTGTGTTTTTGAGGCAGGCAGCACCACTGAGCTAAATCCCCGGCCCAGTTTGTTTCATTTTTTAATCCCCTTCCCCTTTCCTCCAACCTCCTTCCCTCTTTCTCTAATTCCCCTATCCTGATTTTCATTCTTGTTGATATTATTAATCATAGCTCATGTTATGGCATATATTTACATTCATTGAGATTATTAGGTTCCTGTGCATGACATATCTTTATTCTACTTATTTTCCCTTCCCCTCCTCCTCACCCCTTGCCCTTGCTTTCTTGGACGACTTCCCTATTGCAAGAGATCCACCCCGCTTCCCCTTCTGTCCATCCTTTATTCTTTGTTTGTACTCACTCAAATGAGACGTACCTTATGAGAGATACCTTATGGTATTTAAGTTTGTGTGTCTGGTTTATTTCACTCAATGTTATATTTTCCTAAAAATGTCTCAAATTTGTTCTTCTTTATAGCTGAGTAGTCTTCTATTATATATAGCTACCACATTTTCTTTTTCCAGTTGTCTGTTGATGGGTACACAGGCTGCTTCCAGGATTTGGCTATTACAAATTGTGCTGCTATAAACATTGGTATGCATCTGCTGCTGTACCTTAAGCTCTTTGGGGAAGATACCTAGAAGAGGGAGAGATGGGTCATATGGGATGTCTAATTTCAGTTCTTTGAGAAACCTCCATACTGATTTGCATAATGGTTTTACTAGTTCATATTCCCACCAACAATTTAAGAGGGTTCCTTTTTCACTACAGCCACACCAGCATTTGTTATTGTTTAATTTATTAACGATTGCCATTCTTTCCAGAGTAAGATGGAATCTTAGTGTTGTTTTAATTTGCATTTCTCTAATGGCCAGAGATGTTGAACATTTTTTCATATGTTTGTTAACCTTTTGTATTTCTTCCTCTGTGAAGTATCTGTTAATTTCTCTTGCTCATTTCTTGACTACATCTTTATTTTAATTTTTTTTTTAGTTCTTTATATATTCTAGATATTAGACCTCTGTCTGAGGAGTAGCTGGGAAAATTTTTCCCATTCTTCACTCTACTAATTGATTCTTTTGCTGTACAGAAGCCTTTTAGTCTGATATAATCCCATTTGTTGTTTCTTCCTGTTATTTCTTGTGCAATTGAGGTTCTCTTTAGAAAATCCTCTCCTGCATTTATGTCTTCAATTGTTTTTACCTATTTTATCTTCCGATAGTTTTAATGTTTAGATCTTTGATCTGGTTTTTTTTTTGGTTTTTGTTTTTGGTACCAGGGGTCCAACTTGGGTCCTTGTGCTTGCAAGGCAGGCAGCGGAACCACTGAGCTAAATCCCCAGCCCTGTTTTTATTTTAATTTAGTATACAGTGAGAGATATGGGTCCGGTTTCAGTCTTCTGCAAACAGATAACCATTTTTTCCACAACCACTTGTTGAATAGGCTGTTTTTCTTCCAACATATGCTTTTGTTATCAAAGATCAAATATGGCCTCGAACCCAAAATGATCCTCCTGCCTCAGTGTCCTAAGTGCTGGGACTATAGGCATACACCACTACACCCAGCCATGCCCATTTTGACATTATTGGCTCAATGTTATTTTGATTTGCATTTCCCTTATGGCTAAAGATGATGAGCATTTTTTTCATATATTTATTGGCCATTTATAGGAGGCTAAGACAGGGGGATTGCTGTGAATTTGAGGCCAGCCTGGGCTACATAGTGAGTTCAAGGCCAACCTGAACTACATAGTGAGA